TCCACTTTAACAACATCAACGGGCCCTTCCCATAACTCCACTTTAACAACATCAACGGGCCCTTCCCATAACTCCACTTTAACAACATCAACGGGCCCTTCCCATAACTCCACTTTAACAACATCAACGGGCCCTTCCCATAACTCCACTTTAACAACATCAACGGGCCCTTCCCATAACTCCACTTTAACAACATCAACGGGCCCTTCCCATAACTCCACTTTAACAACATCAACGGGCCCTTCCCATAACTCCACTTTAACAACATCAACGGGCCCTTCCCATAAGCCCCCACCCCATAACTCCACTTTAACAACATCGCGGGCCCTTCCCATAAGCCCCACCCATAACCCCACTTTAACAACATCAACGGGCCCTTCCCATAAGCCCCACCCATAACTCCACTTTAACAACATCAACGGGCCCTTCCCATAAGCCCTTCCCATAACTCCACTTTAACAACATCAACGGGCCCTTCCCATAACTCCACTTTAACAACATCAACGGGCCCTTCCCATAACTCCACTTTAACAACATCAACGGGCCCTTCCCATAACTCCACTTTAACAACATCAACGGGCCCTTCCCATAACTCCACTTTAACAACATCACGGGCCCTTCCCATAACTCCACTTTAACAACATCACGGGCCCTTCCCATAACTCCACTTTAACAACATCAACGGGCCCTTCCCATAAGCCCCACCCATAACTCCACTTTAACAACATCAACGGGCCCTTCCCATAAGCCCCACCCATAACTCCACTTTAACAACATCAACGGGCCCTTCCCCATAAGCCCCACCCATAACTCCACTTTAACAACATCAACGGGCCCTTCCCATAAGCCCCACCCATAACTCCACTTTAACAACATCAACGGGCCCTTCCCATAAACTCCACTTTAACAACATCAACGGGCCCTTCCCATAACTCCACTTTAACAACATCAACGGGCCCTTCCCATAACTCCACTTTAACAACATCAACGGGCCCTTCCCATAAGCCCCACCCATAACTCCACTTTAACAACATCAACGGGCCCTTCCCATAAGCCCCACCCATAACTCCACTTTAACAACATCAACGGGCCCTTCCCATAACTCCACTTTAACAACATCAACGGGCCCTTCCCATAACTCCACTTTAACAACATCAACGGGCCCTTCCCATAAGCCCCACCCATAACTTCATCTGCTTGGTCCATCACAGATACTTCCCTCTCACGCATGTAAACCATGACCGTATCCTCCCACTCGTGCCCTTTTCACAGCCTCTAAAGTAGACGTCAACACCAGGTTCAGGCCCCGACAACATCCGTACCCCCTACAGCTGCATGCATTCCCCATAACATCGTCCCCAACGTGTCCAACAGTTGCCTTTGACTCCAAACAGGAGGCAATGTTCTCCCCGATGGAATGACCAATCCGCTGTACCAATGTCTGCTATGACTCCAAACAGGAGGCAATGTTCTCCCCAATGGAATGACCAATCCGCTGTACCAATGTCTGCTATGACTCCAAACAGGAGGCAATGTTCTCCCCAATGGAATGACCAATCCGCTTGTACCAATGTCTGCTATGACTCCAAACAGGAGGCAATGTTCTCCCCAATGGAATGACCAATCCGCTGTACCAATGTCTGCTATGACTCCAAACAGGAGGGCAATGTTCTCCCCGATGGAATGACCAATCCGCTGTACCAATGTCTGCTATGACTCCAAACAGGAGGCAATGTTCTCCCCAATGGAATGACCAATCCGCTGTACCAATGTCTGCTATGACTCCAAACAGGAGGCAATGTTCTCCCCGATGGAATGACCAATCCGCTGTACCAATGTCTGCTATGACTCCAAACAGGAGGCAATGTTCTCCCCAATGGAATGACCAATCCGCTGTACCAATGTCTGCTATGACTCCAAACAGGAGGCAATGTTCTCCCCAATGGAATGACCAATCCGCTGTACCAATGTCTGCTATGACTCCAAACAGGAGGCAATGTTCTCCCCAATGGAATGACCAATCCGCTGTACCAATGTCTGCTATGACTCCAAACAGGAGGCAATGTTCTCCCCAATGGAATGACCAATCCGCTGTACCAATGTCTCCATGGAGACCTCCCCACTCCGTGTATTTTGGGCAAACCTCTTTCGTTCACATCCTTGGGCGTTTCCCTGTGGAAACTATCATCAAAAACCCCCCCCAAAACCCTTCAGTTTAGACATGGGTGTAGAAGCAACTGGAATTCTGTCTGAGCCCCCTACCAACAGATGGTGACGGATGAAATGTCAGGAAACCCCTCCCTCTCCCAACACCTTCCATCTTAATAATGAGAAATCAACACACTAAAGCAAAAATGCAAATGAAAAAAAATATATATTTAAAAAATAAACTCATGTCAAAATGTAACCTAAATCTATTACACTGGTAAAACCCAGTTATATCAGATGTACATTACAACACATTATAACACAAAAGTTATATCGTTTATCCGTGAAAAGAAAGTCCCAGTCAATATAGAAAGTCTCAATAAGAGAAATCATCAATTTAAGTAATCAAAAAACGACGCACAAGCGCCCTCTTGTGGCAAAAATACAATATCGCCATAAACTGCACTAGCAACGTCTTATCTGATTCTCCAACGGCGAATTTATGAGATGGAAATCCAGCGAAGGATGATCCAGAAGACGTTGGATTGGATCATGTACAATCATCGACACGGACTCCAACTTGTAGCACCAGTCATGGAGATTTATTCTGATAGAAACAGCACAAAATTGCACGTCATGCAATGCACGGCTCACCATCCAACTCTGCACTCAAGCACGCTGGTTTGGTGCTTGTTCACTGGGGCCAGACCCGTCGCCAGACCTCAGTCTTAAGGGGGGCATATGAAATGCATGGGAGGGCAGTGCACAATTATTATTAGCCTACAATACGTATATTTAATAATACATTTCCTCATGTGGGGGGGGGGGGGCTGCAAGCATTTTTGGGGGCGGGCCCGGCCCCCTATGGCCCGCCCATAGCGACGGGTGTGACTGGGGCAACGTAGTTACCAGAATAATACAACGACTACAATACACAATATAATATTTTTAACAATGTACCAGATAGAAACAGCACAGAATTGCACGTCATGCAATGCACGGCTCACCATCCAACTCTGCACTCATGCACTGTACAAAATATACGGAAACCGCCCTACCAGACACAGTAAGTTGCTAGCGAGCATTAGCTGGAATTCTCTACAACAAAATGCACAACAAATATGCACAAAAAAACGCGGCATCTTATGTGTGATGTTTTAATAATATTTACAAACAAATTGATATAAATTTTACATTCAAATCATGACTTGGAAGTGTAAAAATCACTTTTGACTTACAGTGCTTTGCAACCAAGAACCTACCAGGGGTTTGGTGCTTGTTCACTGAGATGATTCTAATTTAAACATCCTCCCTCATAAGCAAGCCAGCCAATAAACATCCTCCCTCATAAGCAAACCAGCCAATAAACATCCTCCCTCATAAGCAAACCAGCCAATAAACATCCTCCCTCATAAGTAAGCCAGCCAATAAACATCCTCCCTCATAAGCAAACCAGCCAATAAGATGCCATGTTGAGTAGCTGAAGGCAAGACAAAACTAAAAACCAAAACCAAAAACCCATTGCTAATTTATAGATTGGCAGGTAAGGGTGCTCTCGAGCGGCTAGATGTTCTTTACCATTCGGCCATCAGATTTGTCACCAATGCTCCTTATAGGACACCACTGCACTCTATACTCCTCTGTAAACTGGTCATCTCTGTATACCCGTCGCAAGACCCACTGGTTGATGCTTATTTATAAAAACCTTCTTAGGCCTCACTCCCCCCTATCTGAGATACCTACTGCAGCCCTCATCCTCCACATACAACACCCGTTCTGCCACACATCCCTGGGTCGCTCCTCTTTTCAGTTCGCTGCAGCTAACGACTGGAACGAGCTGCAAAAAACACTCAAACTGGACAGTTGTGGCTGCTTGGCGTGATGTATTGTTGTCTCTACCTTCTTG